TGAAAACCCAAAAGAACCTTTTAGTTATCAGATTTATGAATTCCTCACATTAGCGAGATAATACAACCAAACAGAAGGTGATAAATACTAAAGGCAAGCTTTTCGGTGGTTGAGACACTTCCCTCCTCTTAAGATGCTCACTTACGATTTGTGGTCAAATCTATTTAATATCTTTTTTAAAGAAGTGAAAAATAAACCAGGTTCACTGACCCATTATCATTGTTTACAACATTTCAAATAATACATTTTTATTCTCATTAAGTGAACCAGTGGATTAACTGAGATGGTAAACCGACTAGCCGGTCTCATGTGATTGAAGATAAATTTCACTAAGTGGCAGTAGTGGGGTTGCTGGAGACAAGACAAGTTTTGTTTGCTTCTGGGCACGGCGTGTTTTTTGTGGTGCTGGGGGGCTAGCTGATACATTGGTAGACTATTCAAGCGCCTTAATTTTTTCTTGCCTACGGTATGACCACTTTACAATTCTCAAGTATTTCCACCGGTTTGTGGAAGAAAGGTAAGCCAGGTCAGTGTAACTATTTATTTTAACTACATTAACAGCTCCACAGAATAAAAACTTCAAGTTAATGCTGAAAGTCTCAAGGTCGTTCGTCCGTTTTCAGTTGTCCATCAGCTGCTCTGCTCCCTACCCCTTACGGAACAATAAAAGTGCGATCTCTTCACTGGCATTTCTCTGTAAGCCCCTGCAGGTTACGCACCTGCGCCTTCCCCTGGGGCTGGGGAGACAGAGCCCAGCGGAGGGAGTGAAGTGAGTGGGAGAAGCATCCCCTCATACAGCCCTGTGACATGCATAAAACAACCCTAAAGACCTAAAACGTTTCTTACTCTCCACCCCTGAGCGTAGTGTCTACCCGTTCGCCAGACAGGGAGCAGCATGTGTTAAAATAAATGTTTACAGGTAGAAGCGTCTTCTTCTGGATCCACTGCTCATTTACCTTTCTTTACTCTAAAATCAACTAATTGGACTCATTAACGCTTCTAGTGTGGCCTTAAGTGTGTGTGTACATATCATATACGCTAATTATACTTAAAGTTATTTAATTCTCAGTGCCCAAATCTATCTCTCTCTCTTTTTGTAAGTAGAGAACACATGGTTAATCTTTGGACAATTTCAAAAACAGTTTCTCCTTTCAACCTAGGATATGTTGGCATTCCAAAAGATAAAACTAATTGACATCACCAATAATCTGGATTATTGATCATCTATAGTAAGAGTGAGGCGTGTCAAACCATTAGGTCATTTTGCCTTCCTTACTCCCGTCGTGGGAGCATCGAGGGAGTTTGCCGACTCCGAAGAAGGCCTCTGACCACCTGGACAACAGCCGAGTGTTAGGTTAGCACGTGTACGCTCGGCCCGCCAGAGCTTTGCAGTCAAAACAGTCAGAGTCGACCTCTCGGTAAAAGGACATCGCCTAGTTTTTCTAGGCTGTGAGTAACTGTGCACCGAAGCCGATTGATCAGCCTAGTGAAACGAAATATTTGGAATCATCCTAGCAACTTTTCTGCGGGAACTAAACCCTGATCTTAGAAAGACGACAAGATTTCTTGCTATACAGATACGTTTCGCAGATGACGAACCAGATGCCCAGAACAAAAGAAAGAAATGCTGAAAGAGAAGTTCTGAGAAATGTTATTTAATTTAAACTTTAAATCTAGATAAGCTATGGATACCTAGAAATAACAAAAAAATGAGAGGGAAGCTACGCTGTTAGGAGACGCTCCTGTGACCTTGGAAGAAAAGGCTATTCTGCGGACCGCCTGACTCAAGGCTCATTCTTGAGAAGAATGTCTTTGCAGTTATTTAAGTGACTAATTATTAAGCTGAATGTCCGAGACAGAATATTCTATTGGTAGAGAAAATATCTATAAAATCTTAAAACCATCCTTTAAGTAATATCTAAGTAAATCTTTAAATTGGCATCATTGAATGGAAGTTTTAAAATATGCACAATATATCTGCGTGATAGTTTTTTGATTAGCTATATTAAAAATATATTTTTAAAAATACATTTGTTTTAAAAAATTCTGCCTGTAACCTGATCAAATTGAAGAAATGATTAACTTTCTCTAATAACTGACTACATTTTCCCCAACAATAAATTAATAAATTAATGGTATTAAATAACGTTTTGGAAACTATTATCCTACAGAATATAAAGTCCTGTGTATTGCAGTTATACAAATTTTCTTCCTGTTTTATTGAAAAGTAATTGTCATACATCATTTTATAAGTTTAAGGCATGCAGCATGATGGTTTGACTTACATATATTGTGAAATGATTACCAGAATAGTTTCAGCTAACATCCGTTTTCTGATATAAATACAATTAAAAGAAAGAAGAAAAAAAGGGATCATACTTCTGTTAAACCTTCTCTGAAAAGTACGTTTCGCCCAGAGTTGATACAGCAATTAAAATGGTTAAAATGGCTTCAGAAGAAAAGATGTGGCCTGATAGAATTTTAGCTGGGGAAATCGATTTTAATAAAGACAGCAAAAGATAAAGTTGAGTCTCTTCCCTAATCTCAGTGAAGATGGAAATTTCAATAAAAATGTCTACCCGAGCCAGTAAAGGAGATAAGCTACTAAGATAATTTAATAAATAACGCTCGGTGTCAAGAATTGTGAAGAGTTTGAAATTTTGACCTTCTTGGGAGCTATCAAGTTAGCCTGCCATTGTTTTCTGGATGCTAGCGGGCGTGAGATTTCTGGGTCAGAGATAAAGGACTTTCCTTTCTCAGAGCAATGGCAGAATCCATAGTATCATCATTTCCTTCCACTGGCCCGTGTAGTGGGGTTTATTGTAGGAGAGAAGCCCTGAGCTTAGCGAACTCAGACCTTTTTATGATGGGCAGTGATCATGCCTGCTCTCTGCTCCACAGGCTTTGTCTCCTGAGGCTGTTCACTGCACAGACTCCTGGAAAAGATCATCTCAAACAGGGCTATGCATGGGGGTCCCATCAGCTTAGTCCACCATGTATGCCCCCACTTGTTCCAGGGGGCTCGCTGAGTTTGGAATTTGATCCATCCAGCCACCTTTTGTAGATATAACCCTTGTCTGCTGGCTCTAACTTGCATGAGGTCCCACCTAAAGCCCAGCTTCTCGTGGCTCTCACCTTGATGATCACCTGAGTGGCTGAGGGACAGCTTACTGAAGGACATGTAAAGAGATCTGCTCTCATTCCTAAACTGTTAAGTGGTTGGAAAGAGTAGATTAGTGTTAGACTCAGAATCTTCATTAATTTTCAGAGTTTAGCGCTCATCTCTCCGAACCCTTCGGAAAATTGAGGGAGAGAGTAATTAAATGAATTGCCTAAGATCACACACCTAGTTAGGAGCTGAAACGGGAAAGTCGGAAAAGTCACGTGTCTTAGCTGTGAGTCACACTCGCTTACAATACGGCCGAGAAAGATGAGGCATAAAAGCCTTTGGTAGAAATCATTGTGGCTTTCTTGGAAAGATTACAGTGGATTCACGTTTGGGCTCTGCGGTCCGTTCCACTGGATTCATAGTATTTCTCTATGTAAACGGAGGTTTATTTTTGTACCTCCTTCCCAAGGTTAGTGCGAGGCCTAAAGGCAATAATGCAGTTGGTGAACTTAGCACTGTGTTTTGCACATAGCGACTCTCAGTTAGAGCAGGTGTTTTACATGGAAAACTGCAGAACGTGTGGCCAAAAAAAACCGAAAGAAGGAGGTTCGGTGAACTTTTTGAGCAAGCTCCCTTCTTGAACCTCATGAAAAAAGAAAAGCTTATTCCCTTCCAAAATATTTTTAGTTATATGAATCTACTTTTGATAGCACTCAAAGAAAGATAAAATTAGCCAAAAGATGGTTTAATTAGGCGTGGCCTCAAAGCTAATAATGACTTGAGAAACAAAATTGGTGTTCACTTCAAGTTATCGTAAATATTGGCATTTGACTCTCGCTATTTAAAGTACTTAAATATGAAAACACTGTATCTCTCTAAATGCTTTAATTCCCTGATGTATGTTGTCAGCGATAAGGCAAAATTATTTCTGACATGGTTCTTCCTGTGAGAAAAGAGGCACCAAATCCTCAAAGGAAATAGGGCTTTCACTAGTACTTGACCTTGAAAAGACCTGGTCTACCTGACGCTTCCTGTCGGGGACCCTGAGACTCAGAGAAGACGCTGTTCTCCCTGTCACAATGGACAGTAGACGCCGATCCATAATGACTTATAGGCTCTTTGATGAAAGTCTGTGGCGACTGCCAAAAGGTAGCTCGGTGACAGTACTCTGCTGGAGGTTAATGACAAATGACATAAGTATACAGCGACTGTCCACTGGTTTCACTTGCTCTAAGGGTGGGGCTCCAGGACAGGGAAGACTTCTGTACAAATGTCGTGAAGAGCTTGGTGATCTATAATACTTATAGACATGGGCAAGGAACTCATCTTGTGATTTTGGACGAGTTGCTTGACCTATGAGAAAGTTAAACTTTATCATCTCTAAAAACAAGTCTCTGATTTTTGAAAATCTGGTTTGGGGAATGAGGCTACTACTGTACATGTATGACGCTTAGTCAAATCTCAAGGAAAAATAAAATTAATTGCACAGCGGTCATTTTCCGGCTCTCGGTGGGTCTCTGACTTACGTCCTGGTTCAGGCTTTGAGACGTTTGTGTACAGGTGTCTGCGCTGACGGCACTGCCTTCTGCCATCGCGAAGTGGGGATCTGCTCTCTGAACACCGGGGACGTTAATGCACGAGGGGTCTTTTCGCTCCCAGATCTTTGTAATATCTGAAATTCTAATGAATTCATTATCGACTTCATGAAATGCTCAAAAAAAAAAAAAAAAGGTCAAACCCAGCAAAGTTGTTTTCAAGATCGCATGCGTGGGTTCAAAATACATGATACAGCTCTAACTTTCGGTCACATCTAAAAGCGTTAACCCCGTAGAACTTTTGCAGCTGAGCCGGGTGTCTGCCTGCGGAACTGACGTGAGCCATTGTTTGTCACCCAGGATGGTGTCTCTTCAGTGGTGTCTGCTGTGGCTGCTGTTTCCGCTGAGCTCCAGGACCCAGAAGTTCCCCACCCGAGATGAGGAACTCTTTCAGATGCAGATTCGGGACAAGGCATTTTTTCATGACTCGGCGGTGATTCCAGATGGAGCTGAAATTAGCAGTTATCTCTTCAGAGACACACCGAAAAGGTACCTCCCTACATTACTGCCTTTATCCATAAGCTCATAAAGGACGCCTTGGAAAAAGAAGGTCCCCTTTTACACTGGGTTTAGATGATTTTCAGTGGACCTCTGAGTAGGAAAAAATGGTAGTGTGACTTCTACTCCCTAACTAGAGGCTCTGTGATTCTGGCCGGTGGTGACTGTCTTTGGGGTGGAGAGGGCGACGTTTGCCTGTCTCACATTTTGGAATGATTCTTTTCTTCGCAACAGTGGGAAATGTCTAAGAAAGACTCTCTAGGATTAAAATATCAATTGAATACATATGATTCTTCAAGAGTTCGCATTACGTCGTATAAGGGTATTTCTTTGATCCATGTGATCGTATTCTGAGTTAATCAAACCAGTGATTAGAAACGGACCCTGTTCATTTATCTTCACGCCAACATCAACAAACCGGGCTCACGTAATGCTTCTAAACACTTTGACCTTTAGGTTACGTATATCTTACAAATAAGTAAACGTCTATATGTTATCTTATGTATCATACAAACTGATTGTGTATAAAGTTACTTACTTTGCAGTGCCCAAACCTCTCTCTTTCATATTTCAAAACAATTTCTCCTTTTTGACCTGGGAGACATTGACATTCCAAAGGCTACAACTGTGTCACCCCATCAACAATCCGTTTTCCTAAGATCGAGGTGCATCAGACCAACAGCTCAGTGTTCTCTAGTCACTCCAGTGATGATCAACAGTAACACAGGAGGGTGGCTCTCTCTCCCCCTCTGTGGCCTCGCGTGTCACCCCGCTGGTCAGTGAGTGACAGTGGGGAATCGGTTTTATCTTGGTCGGCGTGACCTCTGGTTTGGGCAGCGTTTCTGTACGGCCCGCATGAAATTGTTTGTTTGAATGAACGTAACAGATGAGGAACTGACTTGTCCGTAAAATATAAAATAATTACGCATCTTCCCGTGAGGATTAGGAGGAAAGGCCCAAAATGCAAGGGTCATAACGTCGAAAGAGGTTGCCGCCTGACCGCTTACGGAGGATCCATCTGTGAAAATGGGGAAGGGCGCAGGCGGCAGCCCTAATACTTCACATTTGTCTTAAATATCAGCCGAATTCTTGCCAGACACATTTTGCTTTTCATATCATGTTGTCTCTTGAAACTTTTGAGTTCAGGCTAACGATTTAGATTCGGGGGTTGTTAGCATCCAGGCGGTGAGAGCTCACACAGGTGTGAGCGCGGGCGGGCACGGCATGCGGGCACCGCTGAACCCCTGCCTGGTTCAGCCCTCGCTGAGGTCGTGGGGATCGGCTGGGAGGAGGTGTCGTCTGTCAGTGGAGAGGACAGAGAGGAAGAGGCCCAGGAGGCACCATGGCGGGAGGCCACACCTGCCCGCACGTTGCCAGGGAAGCAGACGGCGCCGGGGCTGGCTGGAACTGACAACCTTGTATCCTCCCGGGTGAGATCACAGACTTTGAAAGACAATTAAATGAAATCATCTAAGTCGTTCAGAGTAAGAATATGTAGCGTTGCTATAGTTAGGTCATATTTCTATTCTCCTTAAAGTCTTTTGAGGCAGAATGTTTTCATTTTCCTTAAATTTGTTTTAAAATCACTAGGTCATTTATTTCAGCAGCTCCTTTTAGTGATAGAGAAATGCGTCTTTCCACTGGCAGACACACAGGGACCTTTACTTTTTAGAAGTATTTCCCCCATGGCGATTACCCCTGCTGAGTGGGTCCGCTTCCCGCAGGTACTTCTTTGCGGTGGAGGAGGACAACACCCCGCTGTCAGTAACGGTGACCCCCTGCGATGCGCCTCTGGAGTGGAAGCTGAGCCTGCAGGAGCTGCCGGAGGGGGCGAGCGGGGAGGGCTCAGGTAAGCAGCCGCCGCAGGCCGGCCCGGCCTCCGCACGCTCGGCCGAAAGGCTTACGAAGCACACAGCCCTCCACACACAGCCCTCCGGTAGGCAGGATGCGCAGCGAAGCTGGAGATTTTGCGAGACGAGGGGCACGGTGGGGCGTGGGGCGGGGGGATCTCAGATGACAGTGGTCTTGGTGGAATAAGGTTAAGAGAGGCAGGTGTGAGGACCGGAGGAGGGACGTTTGGCTTCGCCGCTCTGGCGGTGGTTTGCCGTCCTGCCGTCCTGCCGTCCTGCCTGACATCTCCACCGGGCCTTTAAATCCAGCCGACGCCGGGATGCTTCCCTCGGCTTCTGATGCGCTTGCCCCGGGGCGTGGTCTGCACCCTGGCACTGTGAAGGGCTCCCCCAAGCCCCGGGATTCCGACGTGCAGCCGCGGTTAAGAAACCCTGATCGCTTGGGAATCGAGGGTGGAAACGAACCGAGAGGCAGAAGGACGAGGGCGGCGTGGGAGGCGCGGGTGGCTTCGGCCTTCCAGGGCGGCGCGGGTGATGGAGAGCAAGGAGCAAGGCGCGTGGACCCGAGAGAGTCTGCGGGAGGCCCAGGGGCGGCGCCGCCGCCTTTCAGAGGTGCGGGCGCCGGGGCTCGAAGGATGCTCGCAGCTTCGGCGCGTGCAGCGACGAGGGGCCGTAGTAATTCGTGCACGTGGGGAGGGATGAGACCCAGACAGGAAAACGAACAGCGTGTGACGGTCGCGTGCATCTCGCGGTTTAGGAGTGCGGAGCTCTCCTTACTCGCTCTCCTCCTGCAGGGTGAGCCGATCGGCCCCCCGCTGACCCCCGGCCCTTCCCCCTCCCCCGGCCCCGCCCGGCTGATATCCGCGCCGTAGCTGACGTTCCCAGTGACAGGAGGTGGAAAGAATTCGTTTGTCATGATATTTTCCCCGCGTTGCTCCGGGGCACGTGTCGTTAACGCCGAGGACGAGGTCCCTCTTACTGGTGCTTTTCACTCTGTATTACGCCGAGTCTGTCCAGTCCCACGAAGCAGAGGGAAGGGAGGGAGACGGCTGGCCATCCAAATGGAACCGAGAGAATCTTTTCGGGAAGCAGATCGACAGGATGGGTCAATCTCTAAACGGTTTTGCAGTCTTTGACCTAGAAATTCCACAGCTCGGAATCCGATCTGAAGACATCATTTAAAATCAGAAAAGCCGTACACATATATAACGGCATTATTTATAATAACCGAAAATCAACCGTGTTATTTTAATGCTATAATTTGAGGTGAGAAAAGCAGAATTCGGAAGTGGAGGATTGTCTCGGAGCCCCCGCCCGTGACGGTGTGAATGAGAACACGTCATAGCGATCGCAGAAAAATACCCAAGAAAAGAGTGGGCGGAGATAAACCAAATATTGACACACGGGGCTGATTCTGGACCGTGAATGAATGATGCTTTTTTTTTTTTTTTTTTTAAATCTTGTTCTTTTCTATTTCCCGGTTCCCCGCTGGGAACACGCATCGCTTTTACAAAGGAGAGAAACCGAGATCGTGTGACACGCAGGGCGGGGGTGGCCGGCCGCGGCCGGTGCCCTGAGCGGAGCCTGTGTTTCTCTGTGTCTTGCAGGTGAGCCCGAGCCCCTGGAGCAGCAGAGGCAGCAGATGAACAACGAGGCTGGCGCCGAGCTGTTCTCCTACCGAGGCAACGACGTGGAGTCCTTCGTGTCTCCCGGCTCTCCGTCCGGTCTGTACCATCTGGAACTTCTGTCCACCGAGAAGGACACGCACTTCAAAGTGTACGCCACCACCACGCCCGAGTCTGACCAGCCCTACCCGGAGTTACCCTACGACCCGAGAGTGGACGTCACCTCGCTGGGGCGCACCACAGTGACGCTGGCCTGGAAGCCGAGCCCCACCGCCTCCGTGCTGCGACAGCCCACCCAGTACTGCGTGGTCATCAACAGGGAGCACAACTTCAAGAGCCTGTGCGCGGCGGAGGCCAAGCTGGGCGCGGACGACGCGTTCATGACGGCGCCCAAGCCCGGGCTGGACTTCAGCCCCTTTGACTTCGCGCACTTCGGGTTTCCCGCCCCCGGCGCGGGCCAGGAGCGCAGCGTCCTGTCCAAGCCGCCGCCGCCAAAGCCCGGGCGCCACGCCGCCCCGCGGCCCAGGGCGGACATCCAGAAGGTGTGCATCGGCAACAAGAACATCTTCACGGTGTCGGACCTGAAGCCCGGCACGCAGTACTACTTCGACGTGTTCGTGGCCAACAGCCGGAGCAACACGAGCACGGCGTACGTGGGCACCTTCGCCAGGACCCAGGAGGACGCGGGGCAGAAGACGGCGGAGCTCAAGGACGGCAGAGTGGCCGACGTGTTCGTGAAGAGGAAGGGCACCAAGTTCCTGCGCTTCGCCCCCGTGTCCTCGCACCAGAAAGTCACCTTCTTCATCCACTCGTGTCTGGACGCCGTGCAGATCCAGGTGCGCAGGGACGGGAAGCTGATTCTGGCCCAGAACGTGGAAGGCGTTCGGCAGCTGCAGCTCCGGGGGAAGCCCAAAGCCAAGTACCTCGTCCGACTGAAGGGGAGCAGGAGAGGCGCGTCCCTGCTGAAGATCCTGGCCACCACGCGGCCCAGCAAGCACTCCTTCCCCACCCTGCCCGAGGACACCAGGATCAAAGCCTTCGACAAGCTGCGCACCTGCTCCTCGGCCACCGTGGCCTGGCTGGGCACCCAGGAGAGGAACAAGTTCTGCATCTACAAGAAGGAGGTGGATGACACCTACGACGAAGACCGGAAGAAGCGAGAGCAGAACCAGTGCCTGGGACCCGACACCAGGAAGAAGTCGGAAAAGGTGCTCTGTAAGTATTTCCACAGTCAAAACCCGCAGAAAGCGGTGACCGCAGAAACAATTAAAGGTCTTCTGCCCGGAAGGGCTTACCTGCTGGACGTGTATGTCATAGGACACGGGGGCCACTCTGTGAAGTATCAGAGTAAGGTCGTGAAAACCAGGAAGGTCTGTTAGTTGCCTGCCAGAGAGATGGCTCGGGTCGGACTCTGGGACAGTGGACGTCACCTCCCTGGGGCCACCTGCACTCACACTGTGGGAGGAAAGTGTCATCTCGTGTCTGCGGATGTTGATGTGAGTCATCGCTGGAGGGCGCTTGTTCCGATGCGCCCAGTGGTACCTGCTGTGCGTCTGACGTCCGCCGATGTCAAAGACAGAGGCCGTTTCGAAGGACCTGCCATCCTTGCTTTGACCACTGCATGAACTGCTTCTAAATTATTTTATTACCTGAAAATTTAAACTATGCCATTCATTGCACACATCTCCAAAATACAAACCATTTCCTCTCTATAGAT